GTGTAATGAGCAGAAGAGAAACGCTGCAGAAAACAGAATATGTATTTTTTTAACACATTTTCACGCACACAACCGTCTTTGCTGCAGGGGCCACCTCCGTCAAATAAGCGATGACAGAAATGGGATGTCGACTTCTACATTCTATTGTGGCGGCACTTCCTTTCGGGTAGCGTAGCGAGAGGATCATCCTGTAAATAGGTCCTTACATTTTTTTAAGTGCAAACAGTGCATGTGCAATTAGCAATTGCATCATTTTTTTAAATGGAAATACACATTTTTTATTGCATAGATCAATTCCTATGTTAATTCTACGTAAAAAAGTATTAGGATACCACGGCAAAAAATAATTAGTTCTCGAGATATTTTCAAAAAATGTCTTTATATAAGGTACAAAACTTTACCGCTGATACCAGAAATACATAATGCAAGTTGGTGGCGTAAATACTTCAGGCGACCTCTTTTACTATCCTATTATCATATTACCAGGGATGCAATCTGAGCAAATGTAATCATAGGGCCGTATTCACAGTCGCAACTTAAGCAAAGACTTAAGACGTTCTTGACTAAGATCGTCTTATTCGAATAAGTAATGCTTAAGTCGCTATGTATTTGTTACCGTTAAAGTGCGGAAATCAGTTATTTTGCAGATTACCTAGGTAATGTGCAGATTAACTAGAGTGATCCGTTAATGTGCGGAAAATTATTTCATTTCTCATATTACCTAGGTAATCTGCACATTACCTACTAGGCACTCGTTAAAGTGAAAATAAGATCTTTGTTGGAACAACAGCAACGTTTCTATACGCTTAAATTAATATTGTAGGAATAAAATGGTTTTATTGTATCTATTCCTTTATTGTAAGACAACGAGTAAACGATGCAAGTTCAGACAGTTCACACAACAACACACACACGCCACAGTATATAAAAAGGTATCGTAATCCGTAATCGTAATTCCGTGTTCGTGAGCCGTTCGTCGTAATCGTAGTCATATCGTATCGTGTTTTATTCGTAATCGTAATCCGTGTTCGTAAGCCGTAATCGTAATCGTGATCGTATCGTGCCGTGTCGTAATCGCGTCGTGGTTTCATAAAATCTGACTCCCGTGCCGCGTACACATCCTTGCGGCGGCGGTCGAATCTTCTCGATGTTTTCCTTTTAAATTTTATTCGTTAGCTTTAACGAATCGTTGGCTTTAACGAATTCGTGGACTCTTTTACCGCCTGCTTCCTACAATACATATAATGTTAATTACTTATTTTTCGATATCTAAAGAATCCAGTTAATACAATCAAACAATCAACAAATTAGTTTGTTTAAAATTGTAACGGCTCGTTGCTCGACACCGTTTAGCTCGAAAACACCAACAAGCCAAATCAGTCGTTCTGTTTGCTCCTTGAATTTGGGCGACCTTTTGTGTGCCCCTTTGTTGTGCTCTCCTAACGCTTCGGTACCCCCTTCGCCCTTCGTCTCCTACATCGGTGTTCTCGAATTCTAACCGGCATGTATGGTTTCGTTCGAAATCAGCCAATCGCGATCTCCCCCACAACCGCTCCGCTTTGTACATATATATAGTCCCCAAAACCAACTGATATTATAATCGAGAAAGAAAATCAAACGGAACAGATCAAACCAAGAACTTTGCGAACTTTGCGAATTTTGCGAGAAATCGTTCTGTACGCGTCGAGCGTCTTCTTTGCGTTTCTCCGTTCGTATTGTCCATCAAGATTGTCCGAGTCTCGTGTATTTTTGTATTTTTGCGTTCGTCCGTCGTGTTGAATAAACTGTGATCGTGTCGTCCACTCGTGAGAACTCTTATCTTTTCTTCTTGCACTCCAGTACAACGTCCTCTCTGGTCCTCTCGTATAACGTGCTCGCTCAGCGCTGAGCGTCACCAGCATTTTCTGTTCCGCGGAAAATTTGACCTTCGAAAATGGACGGAAACGCTATTCCAGTGCAGAACATAGTTGATAGAATCAATGGTAAATGTACAGAATTACGGCTTCTGTGAAAACATCCCCCACTCATTAAATTCGTTTTGCTGACCGGGGGGTTGCGTCCCCCAGATCCCCCTTAAATACTACACTAACTAATACTGATACCCATTTTTAATATAAGGAAATAATAAACACAATTTACAAAGTAACATATTTATTTAAATAAAACGATTATATTAAATTACATTATATCAAAAATGGGTATCGGTATTAGCAAGTGTAGGTCTGTAGGGGGGGGGGGGGGGGGGGGTCTGGGGGGCGCAGCCTCCCAGTAGGCGGGACAAATTGAATACTTTAAATGTTAATAACTTTTTTGTTACGCACTAGCAGCCAACGCAAATTATGATAAATAAAAACAAGCGGCGACGGCAAAATACTAAGGAAACCAAATTAAAAGTGGTGGGATAGAGGAGAAGAAGTGAGGGAAGGAAATGAGAGAAACAAACTTTCGTACTTTAACGATACGGAAGCCGTTAATGTGCATATTACTTAGGTAAAAGCTCTTGATTCCTCGCATTAACGGAGCAAATCAGTTAATCTGCAGATTAACTAGGTAATGTGCACATTAACGGCTTTCGCATTTTAGCGGTAACATATTCACAGTCGGCGAATAAGACCGACTTAGTTTAGGAAGCGATGCTTAAGCTTTGCTTAGTGAAGTCCATGCGCTTAGAAATAAGTTGCGACTGTGAATACCGGCCAGTGAGGACATTTGTCTTTATATGTACATATATATAGATATAGATATCAGATTGTATGGGCATTAATTAGTCATTAATTAATAAGCATCCACATGGTTAATAGAGATAAGACGCTTTGAGAAGATTGTTTAAACTTTATACTTTTTGCTGTATTTATATAAATTAATAGAGGGATTTACCTTTACTTTACCGTAAAAGGGGTTTGGGAAATTACGTTTTTCGTCCTTATATAAGAACACTTGAGGCTGAGTAAGGGCTCATTCGAAAGAGGAAGGTTCAATGTAGCGCGCTCTGGTCATGATTCAACGAGATTATGCTGATATTTAATAAGTGTCCAAAGTAGAGCAAAGCTACGGTGAAATATAACCGTAGAATCTAAGTATTTTTAGGTTACTAAAAGAATTTTGTGACTCAAAGGATGACCAGAGCTCGCTGCACTGAATTCTTATTCAGTTCAAAATTTTCTCATATGAGGATAAAAAACGTAATTTCCCAAACCTCTTTTTAGGTCCATTTTTGCCAATAATGTCACCTCGCTGCATTACCCGTGTCTATCCCCTATAATAATAAAATAATTTAAATTAGAATGTGTGTGAAAGTGGTATCACAAAATTCTAGGGGCATCATACTTCAAGAAGTAATCATAAAGTTCACACTTGATTAATCATAAGCGAGTAATTAATGATTATTTTATTGCATAGCCTGCGTATAAGAGCCTGCGCAGACTGCAGACTTTCTATCGGCTGATAGTTTGGTCGGGTTGGCCGGTTAACGCGCACACTGGGTCAACTAAATACTCAGGTTGGTGAAAGAAGAAACAGAGTGGAAAGAGATGGATAGTTTAGTTTGAATGCAATTGTGTAGCCCATCAAACTTATTTATCGGCCGATACCGAATCGTTGTAATATGCGCACTTGCATACATCTTCATACTGATTAAGAACCCGACCAAACTATCGGCCGATAGAAAGTCTGCAGTCTGCGGGGGCTCTAAAGCGGGAAAATAACTGTGCGGCGCCATACCTCCTTGCATTATGTGCTCCAGATGTCACACTAGTGGCGGTATTAGGAGCACATAACCAAAGTTGGTGGCACAAATACCTCTGTTGTGCTACTTCCTTTCCTATCCTATTATCCTGCTACCAAGAGTCGAAATCCGGCCAGAAATTGAATCCGATGCCAGAATCGTGGGACGTGGGACAAATTTTTACCCTCTCCACGACGTCCCAGTGGCCAGTGACTCCCCTACTTCAGTTGTTTCATCTAACACAAGCGTGTTGTCCCACGTGTCCGTGTGAGCTGTCCGTTCGGCACTGGATTATATGTATTATTTTGTCGACTCGTCGATGCTGCTGCCACATCTTAGGTGGCTTGAGCATTGAGCCGATAACGTAGAAATGCCGGGAGCAGCTGAACCCGGAGAGCTCACACGGACACTTGGGACAACAGGCTTGTGTTAGATGAAACAACTGAAGTAGGGGAGTCACTGGGACGTCGTGGAGAGGGTAAAAATTTGTCCCACGTCCCACGATTCTGGTATCGCTGATTATATCGAATAACCAACCGATTTCTATGCATTTGTAACGTTCTTACAGGAACAAACCAACTTTTGCGGAGAATATTTAAATCCAATACAAAAGAAAAATAACAATCTTTTAAAATTAATTTTGATGGTAATTAACATTATAGCGTTTAATCACAGTTCAAAAATTAATTATGTTCAAATGCAAGAATTGAATTTAACAAAACATACAACTGTCAAAGTATTAATATATAGAGGTTAGAAATTAAACAATGGTTTAAGAGAAGATAATTTAACCATATTCAACAATTTAGTATTTACTGTTTATCAAATACATTTTTACATAAATATTATAATCACGCTGATGATTCACTTGTAACTCTGTTCAATAATTATATTAGATACTTGATTGAAGGTTAATAAACGCTAATGAAAGAATATTTACTTAACATTCATTTGATACAAAGTTTCACCGCGCTCTACATAAGGAATAAGGATATTTAAGGATTCGGTTTGTCAGCTTAACTAATGATCTATGTCTAGAAGAATTTTAGCGGGTTGTAATAATGAATTTAGAGCATCTTTCGGAATATTACGCTCAATAACTTCGAGTTAGATGCTGCGTAGAATCTGTCGATGATTTTCCATTTCTAAATAAGTAGCGATAATTCTTTCCTTCATTAAAAAAAAAATAACAAATAACAAAATGAGTCAAGTGTTGTTTTTGAATCAGTTTATTGGCTTACAAACGCAAATTTCCATTACAATTGCAAACAATTCCTTTTTTTACAATTCTACAATCTACGTAGTTGTCTGAGAAATTTGCAATTAATTGTATCATTTCCAAGAAACTCGTTGATTACATAACAAATTACTTCGTCACAACACACTGAACACTTTTATTTTCAACGAAACTTTTTTATATAGCATTCCTCGAACATACCATTCTTTTTTTTTAATAAACAATACAACGAAACTAATTTATTAATATTTTTATACTACAAGTTCATTGCTTATTTTTCATGATTTTTATATTTATAAGAGACGGTCAAGCATGGCTATTTATAGCAAATGCGATTGCTTTCGTAAATAATGAAGAATATAAATATTGTCTTAAGTGTTGGACTAACTGACGAACAAGTATACAATGGTAAAAACCGATCGAGACGAAATACATTTGAAATTTCAAAAAATAGAATCATTATAGTAAATTAATCTAGATCACGTTAATAGCTTTTAACGCGTTCACAGTTTTTATTGATAATTCTCACATCGAGATCGCTTTCAAGACTAAACTTGAGCATATTTATCGGCGGAGATGTAGCGGTAAACGCGAAAAATCACGTACATAATTTGTTTCTATTTTTAGTGATTTTCGAGTCACCGAGTGTCAATTCTTATAAACAATGCCCAACGAGACGTGAAACGGTAATAAATTCATGGCTAAACGATGATCTCGTTCAAGCTGTATCAATACTAGTCTTTTAAGGTCATGTATTAACATGTTATTTTCACTTATCATTCGAAGCAGCTGAATGATTAGAATGTTTTTTCAACGACTTTGACAAATTACCTATTAAACGTTTCGAGACGTTTGTTACTGACACGTACCAGTTCTCATTAATTTCGTGATACATCAGAAAAGAACAGAAGTTTCTGTTACTTTTTGTGTTGACGTGTTACGAGAAGCATGTTAACATGCAAAACATATCGTCATTCAAGAACACAGAACGTCCTTGTAATTACAGACATGCACACAGTGGCCGGCACATGCGAAGAATTTCAACCATTCTCTTAGGAAAAAGAAACCAAAATAGATAAAAAGAATTCGAGTGAAAAACGAGGAAAGAAACGTGACAGTATGGAAAAGTGTAGCGGAACGTGTCGTTTGTGGAAGTAATCGACACATTCCACGGCGATCGATGAAGGAATCTGGTAGTGGAACAATCGTATCTCTACTTCTATTTGTTTTTTATAACGATTTGTTTGTTTCTACCAAGCTCGTTTATGCTTTTTCACAGGAGACATAAATTAACGCCACGTAATCATAGAGAGTCGCGACCACTTTTACCAGTTACCATCTCGTTACCATCCTAAAACTTACTTTCCATCTTCTATCACTAAGGTAATAATAATTTGCGATCATCTAACTTTTTCCATCAAAAATTTCAAAATAATATTCCTCCATGATAAGTGTTTTCCAAGGCTCACTGTTTTCACTTAAGTACCATTTTATCAAATTGGTATTTAAGTGTATGCTTAGTTCAATATTTTCAATGGTTAAAAAGCGTTAATTTGATAAAGAGATGAATCATAATTAATACAATTGATGGTCAAAATACTAAATACCACTTTTACCAGTTACCATCTCGTCACCATCCTAAAACTTACTTTCCATCTTCTATCACTAAGGTAATGATACTTTGCGATCATCTAACTTTTTCCATCAAAAATTTCAAAATAATATTCCTCCATGATAAGTGTTTTCCAAGGCTCACTGTTTTCACTTAAGTACCATTTTATCAAATTGGTATTTAAGTGTATGCTTAGTTCAATATTTTCAAGGGTTAAAAAGCGTTAATTTGATAAAGAGATGAATAATAATTAATATAATCAAAATACTAAATAAAACATATGAAGGAGAATTAAGAACTCCATAAAGATACAGAAACACCGTGGCCCCTTTCTTTGAAGTAATTCTGCACTATGCTATTTTCTACATCACACTTCTACTATTAACAAAACCAAACAAACTCTGACGAAGATTATCAGAGCGTCAGGATGGGAAACACCCAGCAGGAAGTTCTATGAATAAAAATCCGGCCATGGATCCGTGAAAAAAGGGCAAATAGTTCGGTAAATTGTCCATGATTTGGGTTTTCCGAAGCCAATGACCATTTAGAGGGGGCGACGCATGCGTTCGTATCCTGGACAAGGTATCAGCAGGTTCTCCAAGTGGAGGGAGAGCGGAGGCACGTGTGAAACAGCTGTAGATTTAATCAGAGTGTAGAGCAGGTAGGAGAGGACGCATCAAACGGTAAGCTCCTAACGTCTCGACGATCCATCCAAGTTGTTCGCCTGAAACTGACAAATTATTAACAATCTATTCCATCGTTTGTAATAAAAAAGTGTAACAAAGAAAAGGTACGCGTTGACAAAATTATTACTGGTGCGGTGAGACATTAGACTTGAATACATATAATTACACGGTATCGCTGTTACTATTTTCCAAGTTAATTACATATGGAAATAGTTGTTTAAATCATTCTTGGTGATAAGGTGAACAGAAACAAGGAGCGCGTGTTTGAAATAAATTGCGACCAGGTAGCAGGAAGCAAGACAACCACGTGATCTAATAGGTTTCACGTGGTTGTCGGTCAGGTGACTTGACACGATGCGTTGCCGTCAGAAACCCTTAACTAATTGTCTCCTAAAGACCAAATGATTAACAGTTTGTCTGACACCTATCCGAAATGACGTTTGCGCACAGTTCACGAGACGCCGTCGGTTGCATAATAGAGCCGATGATCAAGTACGTCAATCGATCGAGTAGGAATCGAGATTTTCCTTTCGCTTGGACACATTTTATAAAAATTACAAAATAATCATTGAAATTTCACGGGGTTAATCCGAACCGTCGGTAAATAACGCTTGTCGTCGAAGTAATTAACAAGACTTTCGCTGTAGGCAACAAGTGTGACAGGATGTGCTAGAAGAGAATCTAACTGGCTAGCCACGAGGAAAACAGGAAAACCATGACCGGGCTGAACTTCAAGAGACTACTGAAGAACAGAGTTCCTATTTTAAAATGGCTACCCTTGTACAGGACAAACGATGCGTTTGGTGACCTAGTTGCTGGTTTCACAGTGGGCTTGACCTTAATACCACAGGTACTTTCCAAAGAGTGTACGATTTTATCGCAACGATACAATGTCACAATGTCACAACGTTTAACACGTTCGCTGATACCGTCGACATAGAATGCGATGACCCGTGTGCCACCCGTCGACTGTGCCTCGACGTTGCTCGTAGGAATTAGGATATAATGGCACACAGCGTGTCCCTAATGTTTTCTAAGTGGCAGCGAACGTGTTAACTCGACGACAAACTGTTATTTCGCTATCATTTTAATTACAGGCGATAGCGTACGCTGGATTAGCGGGTCTAACGCCGCAGTATGGTCTTTATAGCGCATTCGCCGGTAGCTTCGTGTACATCATTTTTGGTACCTGTCGAGAAGTGAATATCGGTCCAACAGCATTGATCTCCTTGTTGACGTATACGTATGCCAGGTGAGCGGTACCGTGATTAGTTACATCCCTTTGCTGTTTATCAGACTTCCGGTGGGCCTCGAACTGCAAAAATTACTTTATGGCAGTTTATGGCGGGGCCATAAAGGGCCTGCACGAAGGTCCTGTACGAAGGAGCCAGCTAGGCTCCTCTTGCGCGGATTACACAGTACAACCTCTAATCCGTTCGATCAGTAGCAAGAGCTTTCTCTTAGTTAGGTTAGGTTAGGTTAGGTTAGGTTAATCAGCGAGAAAGTACTAATAGAAAAAGGCCTAAATGGCTTTAGTCAGTGAAAAATAACTATCTATTTCATATCTTGAAAAAATATATACTCCTGGCAGCCTGGAAGGCTTTAGTCATTCAAAAAATATTAATATTAAATTATTTTTCGGCTCTGCGAGCTTTGTACACTATCAGGTATACAGTACAGGACCTTCGTGCGGGCCCTTTATGGCCCCCGCCATAAAGTAACTTGTGCAGTTCATGCACGACCCAGACTTCCACACCACTTACAATGTTTTTCAGATCAACCTACAATATTAACAAGTTTTATTAGCACTCGTGAAAGACACATCTTAGCCGGTTAACATAATAGTTGAATTTGATCGTACATACAATCGCGAGCAATTGGAAGACTGATATAATTTAACAACGGTTGAACGGATGCTGTTATCCTTTCAATCTCGTGTCCGCAATTCGCACCGTGATGAAACGAATTAGATTACCGAACCTATTATCAGAAATTCTTCGGGTAATGTTCACGATCAAACCTCTTAAAAAGCGATTTTCGAATATTTCAATGGAAGCATGATAAATTTCCAGCTAAACTGTTTCAAGTATAATGTGCTTACCAGCGTGTACTTGAACGGGTGTAATTTCATTAATTTTCCTATTGTTTCCAGAGGTATTCCGGAGTACGCCATTCTTCTGTGCTTTTTGTCAGGATGCGTTACGATCGTTCTTGGAATCCTTCGGCTGGGTTTTCTGGTCGAGTTCGTTTCCATACCGGTTGTCAGTGGATTCACTTCAGCGGCCAGCGTCATAATTGCCTGCAGTCAGATCAAGAATTTGCTCGGTTTAAAAATTCACGGGGAAAGTTTCATCGAAATCTGGAGGGTGTTAGCGGGCAGCATAGGTCAGACCAGGATACCTGACCTGATCCTGTCCAGCTGTTGCATTCTAACACTGTTGACCCTGAAGGTAATTCACCGTGGAACTGCGCCGAAGTAAAACTAGTTCTTATATTCGGTGAACGCGTAGAAATAATGGTAAAAAACTAATGGTAAAAGGTATCCCGTGGTATACGGCTCGTGTTTTTTTTTTTTTCTGTTCTCGTTGCAGAAAGTGAAAGACCTGAAGGTCTCGAATGAAATTTTAGGAAAATCGATCTGGTTCCTAGGAACTGGTAGAAACGCTTTGGTCGTGATCTTGTGCGCAGTGGTGTCCTACGTCTACGAGGGTTACTACGGTGGGGCACCGTTTATCCTAACAGGGCACATCGACTCGGGGCTACCTTCCATCGCGCCGCCATCCTTCACCAGAACCGTCGCCAATCAAACTGAAACCTTCTTCGACATTTGTAAAGATTTGGGCAGCGGTATAGTGATCGTTCCTTTGATCTCGATCATTGGAAACGTGGCGATCGCGAAAGCGTTCTGTAAGTTCCTCGAAACAAATTCATCTTTTCTTTTTGGTATCTTACCTTTATAATTAATCGACGATCTTCCGTTAAGCGCGAGGACAGTCACTGGATGCTACTCAAGAAATGTTGACCCTTGGTTTGTGCAACATCGTCGGTTCGTTCTTTCAATCGATGCCGGTTACCGGTTCTTTCTCCAGGAGCGCCGTGAATAACGCCTCTGGTGTGAGGACACCATTGGGTGGCATATACACCGGTGAATTGATACTTCCATGCTTCTACAGAGAAACACACGTGCCTGGAATGAAAAAGTAATTTGAATTTTTGTCATAGGTGTTTTAGTCGTTCTAGCTCTAAGTCTACTCACTCCGTACTTCTATTACATCCCAAGAGCGACTCTGAGCTCGGTGATCGTTTGCGCGGTGATATTCATGGTCGAGGTGCAAATACTTCGGCCGATTTGGAAGTGTAGCAGTGAGTAAAGAAACTTGATAGAAAATTTAAATAAAAAAAATAATTACATAAACGGTATAGCAGGATAAGATGGCCAAAAGTGCCATTGAGCCAATTTTATTCAGCAATGTACCATTTAATAGCTTACGAAAAAAAAGCTTTATACACCAAGTTTCAACCCTGTATCTAAACCGGGAGGGTAGTTACAAGGGTAAAACCGAAAACACGGTTTTTTCCATGTTTTCCCTATTTATTAGTATTCGAAAAATCTGAAAAAATTCTAAAATATTCTACACATGTTTTTTTATGATTGTGAATTTTTTCAGATTTTTCGGTTGTAAAACCTAGGCGTGAAATAATATTCTAGAATTTTTTCAGATTTTTTGAATACTAATATACAGGGTGTCTCAACTGATTTTGACAACTTGATTTCCTCGGTATTGTGGCACGTAGTGAAAAATGTTTCATAGAGAACTTAAATGGTATCAAGTGGGGCATGTTCTGGTGTTATTAGTTTTTTCGTACGCAGACGCGTCAAGGATATATGCAGGTCAACTTTGTTTTTTTAAATGGAATGGGGTACTTTTTTATGCATCAAACGATGCAGCTAGACATTCTATATAAAAAAGTACTGACCTATGTATGTCAAAAAGCTAGTAGTTTAGGAGATATGTATTTCAATTTAAATAATTTAAGTTTATTTACAGGTATGACGACCATTTGCATCACAAAATTTTTGAAATCGATGAAGTAAGGACTGGCCTACGTTATTTAATATAACGGCTGATATTTTGCCAGATTCGTCGATAATACGCTGCTTCATATCAGTCACTGTAGTTGAATCTTTCGCGTCAACTTTATCCTTTAAATAGCCAGTCCTTACTTCATCGATTTCAAAAATGTTGTGATGCAAATGGTCGTTATATTGAACCATATCTGTAAATAAACACTAATGTCAGTACAAATTTTAGAATTATTTAAATTCAAATATTTCATAAACTACCAGTTTTTCGACATACATAGGTCAATACTTTTTTATAAAGAATGTCTAGCTGCATCGTTTGATGCATAAAAAAGTACCCCATTCCATTTAAAAAAACAAAGTTGACCTTCATATATCCTTGACGCGTCTGCGTACGAAAAAACTAATAACACCAGAACATGCCCCACTTGATACCATTTAAGTTCTCTATGAAACATTTTTCACTACGTGCCACAATACCGAGGAAATCAAGTTGTCAAAATCAGCTGAGACACCCTGTATATTAGTATTCAAAAAATCTGAAAAAATTCTAGAATATTATTTCACGCCTAGGTTTTACAACCGAAAAATCTGAAAAAAGTCACAATCATAAAAAAACATGTGTAGAATATTTTAGAATTTTTTCAGATTTTTTGAATACTAATAAATAGGGAAAACATGGAAAAAACCGTGTTTTCGGTTTTACCCTGTAACTACCCTCCCGGTTTAGATACAGGGTTGAAACTTGGTGTATAAAGCTTTTTTTTTATAAGCTATTAAATGGTATAATACATTGCTGAATAAAATCGGCTCAAGGGTACTTTTGACCATCTTATCCTGCTATACCCTTTAACGTCGTTTCAGAACGAGATTTAATCCCGACCTTCGCAACATTCTTCGCATGCTTGTTCGCCGGTGTTGAGATAGGGATTTTAATAGGCGTGACGATTGATCTGGCAATATTAATTTATTTCAACGCCAGGCCGACAATATATATCGAATACAGAAATGTAAGTACATAACAATGATCGACGAAGATTCTGAAAGATAGCTAGTTTTAAAAATATCCCTTTGCTTTGTTCCATCTTCTTTTTCTTCGGTGTAGACGCCTACGTTAAGTTACATCCTCGTGCAGCCCAGCGCCGGTTTGCTTTTCCCAGCAGTGGAGTACCTGAGGATATACTTGCTCGAGAACTTGGCCGCTGACCAGCATAAATTACAGAGAACCTTCAAGAACTCGAACGTGGTCGTGTTAGATTGCAAACACATCGATAAAATTGATTACACCGCGGCTAATGTAACGATCTTTCATCTTAAAGAAAGAAATTTCGAATATGCCCTGGATTTTACATCTCCGAGCCTTCTCTTTCGTTTCTATCTGAATTAATCAAAAATATCATCGTTACTATTTCATCGAACGAAACTAGATCGATCCTCGCTTTCGATCATTACTCTATTCATTTTATAAGAATAACGAAGAAAAAATAGAACGTACGATCGGAGACGTAAAATCTAGGACAGATTTGAACACATTTCGTGATTTCGTTTGAACCTTCGATTTCTAACGTTTACAGGGACTGAATATGGTAATGAGAGACTTTAAGGAGAAGAATCATAACCTGATACTGTTACGACCTTCCAAGGAAGTTTTAAGGAGCATCCAATCGCTCTCTGAGGAAACGATCAGAGTGGTCAATACTGATGCTGAAATGATATCTGCTTTGAAAGAATGGAACACGATCAAACGAACTCGAGAAATCGGTGCTGAACTATTAGATATGTCGAATGGAAAGCCTACCAGTGCTACCAAGAACGAGCATACGAGTACGAAACTTTGAAATCATTGCAACAAGTTGATCGATGTAAATTGGAATTAGAAGAAAGAAGAGTATTAAAAATTCCTGCTAGTTCATCGTTTGCAGTTCTCTTTTTAATTGTATAGTGGAAATCGAGTTATAAGACTATCAACGATATCGTATAAAATCGTAATGAATATTAACGTGTTATTTATGATGTGTGTGTATATATATATTTATATATATAATATATGTATTTGAATTGTATGATAATTCGTACGTTTCTGTAACTTTTTATAAAGATATACGAATCGATCAGCAATGATATAGTTCATAAGAAATTACTTGCTTTTTTTTTCTATTTTAAAAAGACTATTGACACGTGCATTTCTTAATAGAGATGAAAGAATAATACTGTGGTTATAAATGCATATCAGAATATGTTGAGGGATTATAGTATAATGTATATATATATATATATAACATCTACCAATTACGGCAAGTTTACGTTTTATTTTGTAAAAACTTGTAAGTCCTCGAAAAATAAACTATATGATATTTCTTAACAATATAAGTAATATTTAAACAAAAATAAATCGTTACGCTCGAATATATACGTTATATAAAAATTCTTTGCCTCTAAATGAAACATAAACAAATAAAAGGAAGAAAATTGAACAAATGTAAAGAAAATCATGTTATCGACGTTAAGTCATAAAAATCAAATGATTCGACGCTATGAAATACTTATACTTAACACGCAACATTTTTTTTTTTCTCGTTTCAATAATTTTTTAAAGAAAAGGAAAAACGAAAGGAAAATTTTCGTAACGCGAACTAAATGCTAAGTGGTCGTAATACTTTCGATCATAGGAACTTAAAAAAGTGTTCTCTCGAGAATTTTTGCACTTAAATATCGTGCATTGCCGTTTCGCGTTTCTTAAGCATCGCGAAACACCTCGAAACGAGTACTCGAGTATTCGTTATTCAAAAAGTACATAGAATCCAAGTAACGAGTAACATCGATCTCTATAGCAATGTGGATATAAATGTCTGAAGAAAATCTAGAAAATAGATTCGCTACTTTCACACTGTTATGATAGGAAACCAGAAAAAGCTAATTGTAATAATATTTCCGACGAATGGCAGTATCGTATAAATTTTCTTTTACATCTTTTTCAACTTTAGAAACTATCTCTAGTAATGTGAAACATCTAACACGATGTACATGATATTTTTGTGTGTATCTATATATAAGTAGATTCTAGATTAATTAAACAGAAAGAAAACTAAATACCTGAATTAATTCTGCAATATACGTACATATATAAAGATTAACGATGATTATACAAACGGATGAATAATTGTAAGTGTAACGGTTTTTGTACCACTGAATTGCAATGATCTATAAAAAACAACAAATATAGATATAGCTTCGTCGCTATTTTACGCTTACTGATCCATCGTTTTCCGTATACCACGACCTATGGTTACCCTGGATGTAAGTTCTTTCGGTGACGCGTTCTGGTAAGAGGTGTTCCTTTGAAATTGCGGAACGTAATGTTGAGTGTTTACCGAATGGATATTGTAAGCAACGGGTTTCACATCCGATCGCATGGATGAGTTCTGTACGTTATCACTCTTGCGGGAGTAATTAACTCCGTAATACATACACTCCCTTGGCGATACCATCGGTGGTATACATTCCGAATCGTTTTTCGATACGTCATCCTTTCTATTGTTCGAGTCCTGATTGTTTTGGTATGCTGAACATGTATCTGGCATTCTCTGATAATTAGCGGTAGTTAGGGCATGCGGTGCATACTTCTGACTCATATGTACGTGCATGTTAGATGGACAATTTCTTGCCATCGAATCCATCGCGATTCCATAGGAGAATGGTAACATCAGTTGACCATCTGGTGAACAATTTTGATAATCGTTTGGCACCGGAGCTCGATACTGATTAGCCCTCATGTGAGCATCCATCTGGTTATCTTTCACTCTGACGTTGTTCGACTTGCACCCCTGCATGTTTCCCACGTAATTGTCGAGTTTCACAGGCACAGAGAAATTTGGAGGATTCTCAATCTGCTGCACTGGCTGAAAATGTTTGTACGTGTTGTTGTGTACAGACGTTGTAACGGGACAATTAACAGAATCTACTAAATTATTTGATGATAATACTTGATTAGGATACGTGTTACAATTAGCATATGTAGGATTTTGAAACAAAGGCGGTGGGTACTGTAGTAACGGATTCCAGCTCTGCATACACATCGGTGGAACGTAGAACATTGGTTGCTGCAGGTAGCCAGTTTGTTGCATGTTGTTGAAATCCGTGCTGCACACGTGTCTGGAGTTTTGTATCGGCATGTTCATAGGAGGAGGTGAGTTCATCACATTTCCAAAAAGAAACATATCTGGAAGCGGTAAATTCCATTGATTATGTTGAGTAGTTATAGGATGATTATGAAAACCAGGCGGTGGTAAAACAGATGTTTGAGTATTATGCATCAGAACGTTGGAAGTATCGTTATGTGAAACGTTCTGACTTTCTACGTTATAAGAAGAGGTACTTGAAATTAACGCATTCTGAGAAATGATTGTACTGTCGGCCGTTTTCCTTGGTACATTTTGCGTATTATTATACTGACTTAAATACATAGCAGGCATACTTTGATAAGGTATACTATTTCCCATTGCAATTGTTGCAGCGCTACCATTGTTCTGTGGCAATACATTCTGTGGAGACATATGCGAAGTTTGTTCAGGTTTTTGTTGCACTATGTCTAGCAGATGTAAATCTCTTTCGGTAGGTTGTATGTTGATATTTGTATTACTATATTGAGCATTATTATTATCGAAATAACTCTTATTTTGTACGCTTTCATGATTTTCCATTTGTTGAGCATTACTCGTGTTAGACGTATCTTGTAAATTGGAATAAAACGAATTAATTGGATTTATCTTATGTTGATGAATCTGATTATCGGAGTGCGATGGTGTTGACCGATGCGCCACGTTAATCTCTTGAACGTTATCTGAGAATTTAACTGATTTGGTATCTGAATTACTAGTACTTGTTTTATTATTGCTATTATTATTACTAGTATCTTCTTGTTCAGTCTTCACGAATTGTACTTCTGTTTTATTACAAGAGACTTGAGAAACTTGCAGTTCTTGTGACACATTTACAGTCGCGGAATCTTTGGTATTGTTTGAACAAGAATTTAATGATTTTACAGACTGTACATTATTTAGAGTAGATGAATCTATTGTATCAGTCTTGTTTGTATTACTAGCACCGTTACTTGTCTTATGCGGATGTACAGATACCTTCGAGCCTTCAGATTCACAATGTACTTTAGCTACCATGCTAATCGGTTTCACTTTATAATCCTTTGATGAATTGTTATCGGTAACATTCTTTTTGTGATCCTCTGGTTTTGCTTGTCCACTTAAATCTTTTAAGAATGCCGAGACAACAGACGAAGAACGTCTGTAAATATTAGAATCCCTCTTGAATTTCTGACTATGTGTTTGATCATCTTTGACATTCCTTTCAACAGTATGTTTTGTGTTACTTAAATTTTGGTAATTTCGTTTACATGGTACAGAACTCGACTTTGCAGAGCTTCTTTCACTTATACTGGAGTCTGGAACAATTGGACTCTTAATACTCTTTCCCAAAATATTGTGGGTCGAGTGCGTATCGCTAATTTGTTTATTCATTACGCTTTGTTGATTTTCACATCTCTTTTTAGACGAATTTTCAGTTGAAGTAGACGCGGTGGTATTAAAGCCGGATGTACTTTTAATAGAGGTAGCTTCATCCGGTTTGTTTACATTCTTTACATACCGTTGCTGTGTCTTTATTAACGGTTTAGTTCTGTTATATTGAACATTATACGACTGAGTACGCGTCACTTGAACTTTATGACACCTTTTTGTATCATCTAGTTCACTGGCTTTTTTATCTGATTCATTTCTAGATACTTTTAATTTCGTAGTAACACATTTAGTTTTGTCATCAGATCCTTCTACGAAGGATTTGCTACTATTACCACTATCATTAAATGTAGAAAAATGTGGTTTAAAAACTTGTTGCTCCTTCGTTCGCGTTCCTTTTCCAATAATCAACTGTTTATTATATCCATTAACTTTATTACTATATTTATCATTAAACTTAGGACTTATTGCAACAGATATCTTTTTCGACTCTGCAGTAGAAGTTGATGTTTTATTTTCATCATTACATAAATCCAGCAAATCATCCTTAGATTTAGAACCCTGTTTCGAAATATTAGAAGGTTCTTTTAAAGAATTGCCTGTAATAAAAAACCACTTACTAAAATTTATGTTCAGTAATGTTCAAATTAAGTTGAAAGATTTCATTCTCACCTGGTTGCTTTTTAATCTTCTGCTCATTCAACTTTTTGGTATTAATTTTTGTCGTCTTTTGTACATTTTTCTTTGTTTCCTGTGCTGATTGACTCTTAGATTTCGCATTATTGTTATTATTATCATGACACTGTTTTGGACTTGCTTGATTATCTATGTCATTATCTGACTTGGGCAAGTTAGAGATATGATCAACAGCATCCCTAATTAATTACATACGTGTAAAATTTAAAAAATACACGATACAATAGCTGTAAGTTAAATGAATCTGTTACCAACCACTCATTATCGGCTTCATTATGAGAGTCGTTTGGTTTATTCCCTTCCTCTTCGTTAAGCCTAAATTGATCTAATTGAACTGTAACAATACTCTCCGCCAAAGTCATACTTATTCTCTCCTGCTCACCCAGTCTTTGCACAACCAAAGACTGAGAATTTGGAAACAACGAACTAGGTACATTAACATCTTTGTTCCAAACAGTCTCCATCTCCTCTTGAACTAAATCAATAACTTCTAATGATGAATGTAATTTTTCCTTGTTTGTAATACTGTTATCTTCATTTAAGTTTTTAGTTGAAATGTTTTTAACTTGATCTATTTCAGGACTAGTTGAAACAATGTTAACTGAAGCAACCTCAATTCTTTCTTCTGCTTCTTCATTTATATTACTTTCAACTGTATTATCTGTTAATTCTATAGCATCTGGAAGTGTTTTGGTGCTATAATATAAAGATGAACACCATACGTTAACAAAGATATTTAGAATAATCATGTCCTAACATTTTTACTTTCTTTGCACACTGAATACCCTATTACCCAATAATATACTTTTGTTCATAACATTACAATTCTTATTCTATTAGTAGAGACATTACAACAGTTGTTAACAATACAAACGTATCTTACAATAAAAGACTATTAATAACTAAGATAAAATAATACAAAAATACAAAGAATTAAATGAAATAAACTAAAACGTATGAAATGAATTTAAACATACAGGCCTGATAACTGAGAATTTTTTTTTAGCCATTGCATATTGTGTATCTTGCCGATTATGGCCATCTGCCTGATATCAGATGCTTTTCGTAAATCTTTATCACAGTTTTCCATTTTACCTGGCAGAAATTAATTTAAAAAAACTAAATATAATTCCTTACAGAAAATAATAGCTTAATGTTATTTTATATAAAATTCAGACCAAAGACTACAAGCTTATCGAATTTCAAACGATTTGAAAATAACAATGTTTACAATGTTTACAATGTTTACATTCATTACAGTAAATTACAACAAAATCACCCAATATAACATAACGAAATAACGTAACGACATTATTTTCGCGATCGCTTAAATATGCTATTTTGTATCGAAGCTATGAAGTTATTTAATGGACGAAACAAGAAGAACATAATAAAAATAATGGACCCAATCCTAGGAATGTTTTAAATTCAATTTGTATGTAATTAATACAAAGATCAAAAACAATTATAGTACATTTACGACGCAATTGATACCGAATGGATACGGTCATTATTGTAGATTCTCCAATTCAAAACTACTTTCATATTAATTTATAAGAATGATAAACTGTCTAATTACCGTATATTTAATTCTCTGATGATAATCGAAATATTAAAGCAGAATCTTTTGTAGGAGAAAAACTGTCTTCCATTTGATATACGAAGATTAGAAAGAGTATCCAACCACCGTACAGGACGCCATAATACTGATATATGATACTGATACATGGGAGGATGCGCAAATGCAAACAAAAGGAAAATTTTCAAACCTAATTAAAAAAACATAATTTTCACATAACCTTTCCATTTTATTATGTAGTTCTATAAATGACAATTCTATAATTCGTAATTATTGCTCATATTATGCCAATAAATATTGCTTAGAGCAGTAGTACGTTTCTGAAATTCAAATAACGCACCCTTCAAAGGACATTTTAAAATAGTGAAAATTTATTGGTTGTCATTCGACGAAGTAGCAAACCAAACTTGTTCGTTCTAAATTACCGACTGCAGTGTACGAATGCAGTCCCTCTATTGACAAGAACGCAAACTGTACTTTCCCTGGAAAACCATCTCGTATAAAGTGCCGATTCCTACGTTCAGTTTATGGTGAGATCGTGTTCGGCGCCTGGTATTGGTTGTACATTTCTTTCTCGCGGACGGATTTTAAGTTGTGCGTGTCGTCAGCTTTCACTCATAATTTTGCATAGTAAAGTTATAAAAAACAAAATATGATAGGAAGTTGACGAGTAATTTGAGAAAGGTTATGCTTGCTCACAAATGTAATCGATAATGACCTATATGAATGATACTTTTTTCACGATAATCAGCCGTATGTCCTACGATGATGCATAGTTGAAGAAATATGTATGTCATCTTCTATATCGTAAAATCTTTATGTAGTTTTTATGGAATGAGTGTTAAAATCGAACTATGGTAATACAAGCTATTCATTACGGGAAAACATACGTAAAATCTTTATTCGTGTGACCGTGTAACACTTTTTTAATGTATATACGATAATTGTCAATGGAAAGGGTCAAGTAGCCGTATCCCTTTAATAAAGCACGTTGTCCTCGTTAATAAATAGCGTTTGACGAATATTGAGAAATATATACTATATTCGAACAGCCGAAATGCTCAATGATTCGTAAAATAACAAAAAAAGCGCAATTGATTGTTACTGCCTTAAGCACCGTTAAAAATTATAATTAAAATGAGATAAAAATAATGAATGCACAGCCAGTGTGCGTAGCGTCATTATATTGAAAGAGAGTTAGAAATATTATAGAAACTGAAAATGAAAAAATTTCTATTAAATGGAAGATATATTTCTAAAATTATCAGTGTGTTCGATTTGTAATTACTTTGACGCTTGTTTTTTTCTTTTTAATCAGCACATACTTTTTATATAGAAAACGATAAATGTGTTTTTGTCCAGAATTTGTATTATCATATTTTATTGAATCGGTAAAACATTAAGATTATTCATATATATGCTTACTCCACGTTTATTATCCCGCAAAAAGTATGAAGGCTAGCCGTAACTTTTCCTCCACAAATGTGAGACCAATTTTGCATTCTGTCGGGGTATATAAGTAGCCGAAAGGCCTTCGGCGCCTTTCAGTTCTTTGCTATATCGTGAAATGTGAGCATTGAAAATTTAGAATTAGGTATCGTTTCCTCTTTATTCATGTTATCATCGTGACACGTGATAACACGGTGACCAACTGAAATACAAAAGTTTGCGTGGGAAGCTGTGTTTCGGTGAAAGTTATAACTTTCACAGGTAAAATATATTTCACGGTTTCTGCAAAAGCTAAATATCTAAAGGCTTATCATTCCATGACGCGCACGATATGAACGAGTATTATCACATTTAGTTTTTAAACGATTACAATTCTTACATCATTTCGAACGCAAAGGTACCCTGCATCGATAGCTTATAGTTTCTATAAGTTCTATATGTTTTTCAAGGGTACATTACTTATAATGGGGCCCGAAATTGACGGTAGAAAATGGCAACTGAAAGGCGGTCAGTTAAGTAAATTTATTAGAAAACGAATACCGATCGTGGAATGGTTGCCAAAATATAATTCCGAAAAATTTTTAAACGATATGATTGCCGGCGTTACCGTCGGACTTACCGTTATGCCTCAAGGACTAGCTTATGCAACGTTAGCTGGATTAGCACCACAGGTGAATCATTTTTGACTAAATAATTTCGTATAAACATGTGAATACTGATTTCTAAAACAGTAATATATTTTTTACAGTATGGCCTTTACTCTGCATTTATGGGTGCTATGGTGTACATTGTATTTGGTTCATGCAAAGATATTACAATTGGGCCAACTGCACTGATGGCACTGATGACTCATGAATATGTACAGGGTAGAAATGCAGATTTTGCAATATTATTAGCTTTTTTATGCGGTTGCTTGCAACTTTTGATGGCTTTCCTTCGTTTAGGTATCATATCATACTTCAGTTGAAATATTAAACAGTACAACTTATGCTCATAGCATGGATATTTAAGTTACAAAATCATTTTGCAGGTGTACTTATAGATTTTATATCAATCCCAGTCACAGTTGGTTTTACCTCTGCAACATCTGTTATAATCGTGGTTTCTCAGCTAAAAGGGCTTTTAGGATTAAAGATCTCCTCTCAAGGATTTTTAGACACCTTAACAAAGGTGATACAAAACATTGACAAAACCAGTTTATGGGATACTGTGATGAGCTTCTCTTGCATTATTGTTTTGTTGCTGTTTAGGGTAATATAAAAATGCTTATCAGTTACAATTTATTCTTCTAATTATAGAAGTAAAGCATGTTTTTTCCATTATTTAGAAAATGAAAGATATAAAGTTGGGTTTGAGTAATGAAAAGCCAGATAAACATCAGAAGATATTAACAAAAGTGATATGGTTGATATCAACAGCTAGAAATGCTCTTGTTGTTATTGTCTGTTCAGCTATAGCCTACATGTTCAACTCTGCAGACTCTGGTTCTCAATTTGTCCTTACCGGTCCTGTGAGATCTGGTCTTCCACCATTTGGTTTGCCTCCTTTCTCCACACATGTTAAGAATGAGACACTTGGTTTCATTGAAATGTGCTCAGAATTAGGTGCATCCATAGCATTGGTACCTGTAATCGGGGTCCTTGGGAATGTAGCAATTGCTAAAGCCTTTGCAAATGGTGGTAAAGTAGACGCCACCCAAGAATTAATCACTCTAGGTATTTGTAATGTTCTTGGATCCTGTGCAAGTGCAATGCCAGTTACAGGTTCGTTTAGTAGATCTGCAGTGAATCATGCAAGTGGTGTAAAAACACCAATGGGTGGTTTGTACACAGGATTATTGATTATTCTGGCTTTAAGTCTACTGACACCATATTTCTACTTTATACCAAAGGGTAACGCACTTGCCATTTAATTAATTCGTTCATAATTTGGATATTAATATACTTGAACAGATATCATTTTTCTAGCTTCTCTGTCAGCAGTCATTATCTGTGCAGTAATATATATGATTGAATACGAAGTTGTAAAGCACATATGGAAAAGTAGCAAAAAAGATTTAATCCCAATGTTTGTCACATTTATATTCTGTTTGATCATTGGAGTGGAGTATGGAATCTTGTTAGGTGTAGGAACAAATCTTGTATTCTTGTTATATCCCTCTGCACGTCCTACGGTACACGTTGATAAATATACAGTGAGTATCGATTAAACTCGTAATTGTTTATTTCTAGATAAACACGAATTTTCTGTGTTGTAGACTAACTCTGGAGCTGATTATCTGATGGTAACACCCGGGAACAGTCTCTATTTTCCTGCTGTAGATTTTATTAAAAAATCAGTTGGAAATGTTGCCATAAAGCAAGGCTTCAGTCAACTTCCAGTTGTGGTTGATTGTAGATATGTCCTCGGAGCTGATTTTACCGCTGCTAAAGTAAATATATACATATATATATATATATGAATAACAGAAAAATAATTGGTACACGCGATAGTAATATCATTTCCTCCACTACAGGGAATAGCAATGTTGATAAATGAATTTAACGCTCGAAAGCAGGGTTTGTACTTTTATAATCCGCGATCGGATGTTATTGCTGTGCTTAAAGGAGCTTGTGGGGAAGAATTTCAATACATATCTACCGAAGATGAACTTTCTTACTTGTTATCAACTTATCAAGGTCAGATTTTGAAACAAAAATTATTTTGATTAGAAATGGATTATTAAATGATCATTCAAATACTGTCATTTTATTTTGTTTATAGATAAGTCGTCGCAACAGCTTTTGGAGATAACGCGCGATAAATCTCACGAACCTTTGATGTTAAATAATCTCGAAGTTATTCATCGTACCGGACGTTCATGCCAAGATTTGAACGAAGTCACGACCACATTGTTGCATGCTACAGCTAGTTAGAATAATAATATGTATTTTGTTGGATTTCGAAAGTTTTATTTTACTCCTTTTATAAAGCTTTAAACTCATAACTTTGCGTTAAGAATTATTTATGAATTTTTTCGTTGATCATACATTCTATCTCTGCATTTCGTTTAGCCGTTGATCCTATGAAATAATTTTCAGTATTATTAAATTATAATTAAGAAAATGAGACGTTAAATTAAATTATAATTAAGAAAATGATAACATATTGTACATTATCAATTGAGAATGTAAATATATATATGTATGTATAAATGTTTGTATACATAAATGAAATATATTGTATTTCTTATTTTCTTACGTTTGTTGTACCAATGACAAATAAAAAAAAAAATGTTATGGAATTATATATTTTCATTTTTACCCTGAAAAAAAGAACGATGCAAGATTAAGGACAACAATTTTATTAAATTTCAAAGATACAATTGTATTTCAGCGTGAGTAAATCGAATGTGATAAGTTAAAAAATACTTTTTCGTTTCTGTTATCTATTAGCTTTTGCATATTTTAGTAGTATTATGTACACAAGTGTATGTACACAAATGTGTGTGCACACGTGTGTCTCATTTGTTTAAGTGTTCATAAATTACAGCTTTTAACGTGATATATGTAGTTAAAATCGTGTAATTGGTCCATCACCGAAACACGTATCTTCGTTATGAAAACTGGTATGTGTATACTCACTGTAATTATCAACAGTATTAATTACAACATAAATTAATTCTTCAACTTCTGCCGATAATACTTATACATATTGCACTGAAGTATCGTATTGGTTTCATTAATATACGTATTATAAAAACTAAACGAGATTACATTTCACTTTCGATGTTTGCTTGCACCGAATTCCATCAGACATACATCTCCATTTTCTTATAAAATCTGTACAAAAATATGTTTTAGTAATACTGTACAATATTTCGTACATTGTGAGCAGCGTCGAAAACTTATTAATTGAAAGATTAATTTTTAATAAAGTCCTGAAACTACGTCAGTGACTTTTCCACGATTTCCAATGATCGCAGGTGTGGTATTTCTTCTTCCAGCAGGACTCTCCTTTTTGACCGGTTGATTTCCCGAATATTTCCCGGCATTGAATCGATTCTTTCCAAGTCCGAAGGTGTCGTAAGTTCGGCCAGCAAAAATACCAGAGTCAGTGGATCTGTTTGTAAACTTATTCCCCATAGTTTCGTTCTGACTGAAAGAATTGTGTCTCATGCCGTTTTTCGTTAATATCATAGGGGTACAATTCAAATTTAATTCGTTCTTCCTGGTAGAATTCTGTTCGTTCTGACAATTCCATTCTCGATTTCTCTGTTCCTCGTACAACTCGTCGCTCCTCAGCTGTTTGTTGTTCACGTGTCCAGAATATAATTCATCATTCCTCAAATGTTTGCTTCTCGATTCCTCTTTTCTCCCTTTAGTATCCAATTCGTAACAACTCCTCGATTCTTCCAATCTACTCGACTTCGACCTAACCAGTTGCCTTTCCTGTCGAGCCTTCTTTGTTTTGGATTGATACTTGCCAGAGCTCCATTGGCCTTTTTCCTCGGTGATCACAATGTCGACCATCGAGTCCAAACCTTCGTCGATTCTATCCAAAGACTTGGTCAACAAACTGGGCGACTTTGGAGCGTCGATGGATCTTGGTCTTCGAGTTAGCAGTGGTTCCAGGTTGAAATCAGTCACGTATAACAATCCACTGTCGCTTCCTCCTTGAGACGAGCATCGCTCCTTTCTGGCAACGTGCGATACATGGTGGAAGGATTCGGATCTACGCATCCTGTTTCTTGAATTCTCATCACCGAACACCTGTTCCTCTTTGCTCAGATTCTCCGAGCTTCTCCCGTAACTCTGAAGACTTCGGTGCTCGTCGAACGAATTCAGACTTTCGAACTTCCTGATCTGACTCTCTACCCTGCTTCTGGAGGATCTTTTCGAGCGCGGACTCGAGGCACTCGACTCGAGATAATCATGGCTCGACGATCTACGAAGAAGCTTCCGCTTCTCCACTTCGCTTCTGTACTTCGACCCGTGTCTTTGCGCGAACCCGTCCGTTTGTTTGCTCGATCTGGACTCGTTGCTCGTTCTGTTCTTTCCGCTGCAGGAACTCTCGTAATTCCGTATCGTTTTCTTATCTTTCACTTCGTCCTCGCCAAAATGCCGAACGTCCTCCAATGATTTCTTCGTTGTCTTCGTCTCACCGTCGTTCTCAATTTCCTTCTTACATTGCTTCTGAAAGTGATCCATATCGGTTGTTCGAATTTGTTCTTCATACGGTTGACTCTTCCCGTTGTATTTCAATCGAGAAGCGCTAAGAAGAGAGTCGCTGCCGTCTCCCAAAGTTTCCTCTTCGATATCTTCGTCGTGAGAATTGTACGGCTCCTCTTGATCTATAAAATCACAGTGTCTGACTGCCATGATGGCCGACAAACATGGTGGCGATCTCCTGGGTGGCTGAGGGTGTAGAATGGTCGGGACGATTGCTTCTTCGACGTCTGGTCCTTTAACGACGATCTTCACGCTGCCATCTACCGATGATTTTGAAACTCGACGAGTTTCACCGTTCAGTCGTTTGGCGCTACTCGAATCTATGCTGTAATCTCGTTCGTTGCCAAAGTAAGTAACCTGTTCACCTTTGATCACGCTCTGAGACATGTTGGAACCGGTGTTAGAGTTTGGGATCTTTGCGTCAGTCTGATCTCTCTTCAACACCTTGTCGTACAAGTAAGCTTCGGAATTATTCAACGAGATCTTCGAGCTTGTTCTGTGTTCGTTGCAGAAGTCTTGATCAGTTACGTGATCTATTCGATCCTGTTCGTGATTCTTGTCACCGAACTCCTCTTCGGCATCCTTCACAATGATCCTCAGCTCCTCGATCACATCCTCTATCGTCGTCTCCTGATCGTTATCCGGCGACGGGTTCATCTTCTGATGATTGGATCTGGACTGGTGTTTCGTGTTCTCCGGACTGCTCGACCTCTCCGACGAGCTGATGCCTTCGTCCTCCGCGTTCGAGGACACCTTCGGCGACTGTTTGGTGCCGAGCAACGTCATCTTCTCACGATCCTCCAAGTTGTAATTGTTCAGCTTCTCCAGCTGCAGCTGCTGTACCTGCGTCTGCAACGCCGAAACCTTTTTGCTGAGAATCCTACAAGTTTCCTCGGCACGTACGACCCTTCGCTGCAGGGCGTCCACGTCGACGCAGTTGTGCGTCCATTTCTGAACCTCCTTATGCAGAAGATCGTTCAGAGCGTCCTCCTCCCTACCGTCCAATTCTTTCAGCCACTCTTGAAGGACCTGCGGCTCTAATCCAGCTTCGCAGGCTTCGGCCTGTGGATAACAGATGAACGTACAGTATGAAGGTTCGTTTAGGATAGAAAATATCAATTGACGCGTTACCTGAATGTACAATCTGGTCTGGGTTCGCGGGGCAGACTTGAGGAAGGCGTTCAGAAATGAAACTCCTGCGACTCTCAGTGCAATTGCTGCTCTGGGAGCGAGGAGCGCGCCGGCTAGGAACCGGAAACGTCCACCTTCGCCGTACTTTAGCCTCAGAGTCGATACGGCTTCAGAGACGGCTGCGTGACCACCAGGTGTCTGGCAAACTTTCGTCAACAACTGGAATAATCGAAATCCTTCGAATCTATCCTCAACCACTTTCAATATCGTGCTAAGTTCATTGAAAATTCGGGGAAACCTCGGAAAGGCCCCCCCACCCTAGGTAGATGAGAGTCTATATATAGGGCTATTAGCATACGAGGAATCGATTGAGACTAATTATAGAGCTGGATCACTAAACGTTTCAGAGATACAGGTAATTAGTAGGTAGCCTGTAAACTAGACTTAACTAGAGATAATTATCACAAATGACGTTATAAATTAATTCTCGAAGGTTACTCCAGTTAACCTAATCTAACCTAACCTTGTTTTTTAATTTGCCGAAGGGGAAATACAGTTACATACGAGCCGAGCAGCCCATTTCGCACTATTCGGCAGTGTGGGACTCGTATTATCCACTAAAATCCCTTCCCCGCGTGGGGGTGTACTTCCGAAAGGTCTCTCCACTCTAGGGCAGCCAAACTTCGGATTTATAGTAATTGAGAAACGAGAAAAACTAAAATCAAAATCAAAGAATAAAAGATTTAAAATTCGAATTAAAGTTGGAAGAGTGACGAGTGAGCATTTTGGATCTGCTGAGGGAGCATATGAAGAAACAAGGGACCCATCGATGGAGCAAGAGAGCCATTGCGCAGCCTCACACCCTCCTGCGCATGCGCAGTCTGATTTTCAAGCCGAATGTGAGTATATTTCATATATCTCGAGAACGGTTTATTTGCCGGACTTGAAAATGGTCTCATTCGATTTCTGGTCGCTAGAGTGGAGGGGCCTTTCGGAAGTACACCCGAAAATTCTTCCAAGTAAGTAATTTTTCTCTTCTTCTTTAACGGGTTAAACAACACGTGAATCCATAGCGTACGATGAAAACTAAGAACAGTGAATTCTTCTAACAGTCTAGTTGGAGCAAGCTAAGTCCACGGTTGGTTTACGGAGGGCGCGATAACGATCTCTCTGTATTCTCATTATACGTATTACCCCGACACTGTAGTTTTCTGTGATCACGTGCCGTGCTGGTAATTATCCAGTTCGGTTAGCGAACGTGTCTGATCGTAACCGCGATGCTTGCGAGGTGCACTTCCTCGCCGGCGGGAAATAAAAAGTGGCCGTCAGTTTGCAAATGAAGCCGGCCGAATAACGTTTTGGATAAAGGATAAAAACTGGTTCTGACAGTGAACACTCACGAAATAACGGGCTGCGGCTCGTCAAGTGGACCGAGTTTACTGGACAACAACGTTTACGACTATCTAAATGGGTCAGAGACGTAACGAGCCTGCACTCTCGCGAATTACAGCAACGTTGACCCACTATCCTCTAGCTAATTATTTCTGTAATCGCGACGATTATGCGTTCCGGATTCCCTTTTTTTTTAAACGAGCCAGATAACGAGCGAAATTAATCATGAATATTTTATTTATAGAACCACGTTAATGTTATTCTAAACGGTAAGTAATAATACGATAAGGTATACTGACGAGAGTTGGACGTTCAATTATGCTCAGAATAAAACGGTGATTAAACACGAACAGATACTTCATACTAACACGTCAACTATCTCGAGGATAAGAAATTTAATATATTCAAATGATTAAGAAATGAAGTGTATCATCTTTGAAAATAGTGCAGCTAAGAAACACAGGACGAATGTAAATGGATGCATGATCCTTTTTGATTAACAGTACTGTGGCAGTCAGAACGGAAGTGACGATTGTTACCTGGAGTGCCAGCACTCGGGACCGGTTCAAGCTACTGGTCAGACAAACCGCCAGAGCGAGAAGACCCGGTTGAGCTTGCACCAGGAGCCTCGGTGCATCGGCGCATCGCTCGGCGCATGCGGCCAGACACTCGACGCAGCCCAACTCGTCCAGAGCAGCTCTCCTTGTGCCGACCCTTGGACCCGTGTGACCGGAAGTGGGTGGCGAACTTTGGGCCAGCTGTACACCTCGAAGTGTCTCGAGTAACAAAGTGATCCCATCGGCTGGAGGCGAAGCGAATTCCTGGACGAAGCTGAAAAAGAAATGAATCCTCTCGTTTCTATTGCCTGATTTTCCACAGTCGCGTAGCGAGCGGAAGAGTATCGATAGCGGAACGAAAGGGAGGTATATATACGTTAACCTTGAAGAGAAACGATCGCACGCGTAACAGGCATTGAACCGGTGACAGAGAAAAGAAGAAAAAGTATAATTACATAATTATGGGACCTTGCGATTAAGAGAAAAAGCAATCCGGTTTTATAGGTGCTGGTAAGCAAGTTCCTTTGAGCTTGTCAACGGAACGATTATAAGAGTGACGGGGCAAAAAGCCGATAACTGTTAATGAAGTAAATACATAAGAGGAGAAGAAAATATATTTCAATTACATTTACATACCCTACCAGTGACTGGAACATCATTATCAACTATAAATTCTCGGGGTACACCGACTGGTTACGTAAACATAATCCAATGAATAATGTAAAAACGGATTTATTGAATGAAGTTACTTTTATTTTTCTTCATCCAAGAACGAGCCTCGTTTCGTGACTCGCGGATAGCATATCGATGCAAGGCATTAATTAATTAATTTTCATCCTCCTCTGAATGTACCCCGATATAAAACTAGTCGGATTTTATGCCCGATTATCGTTCGCCCTGATCCTCGTAATCATATCGTTTTTACGAGACATCGTATTTATCAATTGCCCTAGACCAACAGGACGAAGAGGAAGCGAAACAAGATAGTCCTTCCGTTACATGGATCGTGAACAGGTGGGTACGTGTGTGATGGCCTTAAGGTAGACAGGTGCAAGGACGGGGAAATAGATATTACCACTGTCAAACGGTGACAGAGGCCAGGCAGAGAGAGGGAGAGTTTGTTGCAGAGGTGGAGATTGCGTTTCTTGTTCGCGTTTAGTTCGAATGGAATTCTCGTAATGGACGAGAGCTATCTTTGATCGTGTCACGTTAGTTTCCTTAATTATACAGCCGGGACACGTGTAGCTGGCCGATCCACCTAGCCAGGCCATCGGCTTTGTGCACCTTGCTGCAGTTTCTCCTCTTCGCCGCCGTGAGAATTTTCTTGCAACCGATGCTTTTCTCACTTTCTATGTACATGTACGCGTTATGCAATTTCCCTCGGTAAACGCATCGAACTCATCGACAACAGTTCAACGAACGTAAGGTTATCCAGTATTGTAGGAAAGGGGAGAAGAAGGCGTTTCGTCTCGGGATCGTCTGTCAGACTCGTCAGTGGGGCTGATATCAAACGATCCCTACCCCAGACACCCTATCATACCGCAATTCGGAACTCCTATACAAGGTGTCCCAGAACTGGGGTAGGATCCGTGGAAGGATGATTGCTGAGGTCATTCTAAACAACTTTTTCCTTTGCCAAAATGTTGGTTAAGGCTTCGTTTTCGAGTTATTAACGAAAAACTCTGGCCAATCAGAGCGCGCCTTTAGCGCGGGCCGAACCGCAACAGTGTTAGGCATGCTCTGCGTGATCAAGTGCATCAGCATCACGTCGGTATAATAGGATTCGTTGGGCAAAAGTTGTATCGAATAATGAATTCAAAAAAAGAAAGGAATAATAGTATCGAATGATTGGTTGCTCATCCCTCCACGGGTCCTACCCCAGTTCTGCGACACCCTGTATATTTGAACTGCATGCCGGTCGACCGCTAGCGAGAACATTGTCACCGATCATCTCGCCGCCACCTAACGGCCCCCGCCCCGAACCAATGGTGTCCGGGGAGACGAAATCCTCTCTCCCTCTCCACTAAACGCTTACAGTATTGTCAAATTCCAATCGCGAAGCGGGTGATAAAAAGTAGAATAACCGGTGGATCGTCCGGATATCTGAAATATTGCCGGTTCCCGTTATTCGACTGGCCAGAATGCGGGGAAATAAAAGGTAAACGATAAGTCGACATTGACCCGTATGTTTTTCGATCACCGGCCGAGGAACACGCGCTCGTCAATGCCAATTATTCGCGTGTAATCTCTGTCGCGTTATGAGTTACGACTTCGTTAACCGCCTTAAGAAATACCTTATAACATTTCTTAGAAATTCCAAGAAGCAACGATACCAACAATCTTTTTGCATCGTGAAGCCTGGAGGAGGCGAATCATAACATAGGAATTCCGAGTTTACAAACGCCACCTTGTACACGAAATTTTTCCCCGGACCTGGACAAACAGTCGTAAATAAAGCTGGCTGGCTTGGAAAGGTAAAAAGGTGTTCGAAAAGACGTTCGTCTAGACGGCGACTCTATAAACAGCGTATATAAGCGCCGTAACGCCAGTTGAATGCATGCAAATGAGTATTAAAACGTTTTCTATGTACGCGACTATGTATTCGTCGCCTATTTACCGGCGGCCTTTAAAAGCCGACCGGAGGAAGAGAGAAAGAGTTACATTCTAACAATAGACGCATTATGTTACCTGTCGCATTATGCATAGCGCGCGGTGTATCGCGATACTCGCGCGTGTACACGCGTGCAAAATACACTCGCCTTAAGGGGTTAGGCCACTCTAGAGCAAGAAAAAATAGGCATATTTTGGGAATTTTTTTTTAAATGACGGAATAAATCCAAATTTATTTTATAACTAATAAACTTTAAAAATTAATTTTTGTATAGTGATTCAAATCAAAATATGGGCTCTGCAGCATTCCTTCGATGACGCCTCTTTTTGTAGGGCTAAACGGTCGGACCAGCAGCTCTTGCAATTTTTAACTTAGGATAAAAAATCAAAATATTTTTGATTATATGTATATGAAAACAGCTATCGAACTATGTAGGATTTTTTTGATATATTGATTTTTGCAAAAATGGTGTACTTTTTAAGAGAAAATGTAAAATTTGAAGAAAAAATCCTACGCAGTTCGGTAGAGAATTTAGTTTTGAATATATTGTTAAATTTTCAAATCGATTGGTGATGATCTGTTTGATTTGAGTCTGGCCAGTTTGAAAAATGCGGTTTCTTGAAAAATACGTTTAAAGTCTTCAGTAATAGGCGCAGCAGACCGGGAGGGGCTGCGCCAGAATTCGAAATTTGAGTACTTAGAGATTTTTCCCACCCATAATCTTTTGCCATATCATTTTTAAGACATTAAGGCATCTATTAAGCAAAAAAAAAATTTCGATTTTTTCAAAATTCTAGAATGATTTAACCTCTTAAAAACACGAATCCTATTTGGATTTATACGTACGCCGAGGAAAAAGGAGAGTGACTGCGAGGAGTATGCAAAGAGCGAAGCGTAATCGATCTGACGGAATTGCAAGCGGATAGAAAGCGGAGTTGAGAGGATGAGGAGCGTTGAATCGAACCGAGTGGTAATCGAAGAGTGGACCAAAGTCTATCTTGAAATTTTGTTGATTGACAATTTTCGTTCGAATAGTTCCGTGTACACCCTGCAGGGGCGAATAGAGGATGTAAAGAGGAATTCGTTCCAAGGCGAACGGCTATCGACCACACGCTTTCCTGGAGACATCATGCGAGGCTTCGTCCAGCAATGGGTGCATTATATTACACCCCGCATTATGCAGACTACGGTGTACACGTAAGAATGCCTTCGGCGGACGCGACATGAATATCAAGTGTTCCCTATTGGCCGGTTGTGTGGGCACACCCTAAAACACGACACGAAGAGCCGAAGAAAACGAAAGGCTGAACGTTTCTCTTTCACGCGATATTTCTGCTCTTTGCCTTGAAAATATTACACAATCTCTGTACTTTTTTTCCTCTTTATTTTTGGCTCTTGAGATCTGCGTTCTCAGAAAGTCCAAAATAAGAAGGCTTCCTAAAAACATTCAATTATGAAACATCCTGCGATTGCATAAATCCAGGTGGCAGAAAAACGTAACCGATAAAAGCGTCGTCTTTCCGTCGTAATACTTTATCGTTATTCGCTATGCACGAGGTAAACACGGCACGTAAATAAACGTAGGGAATAATATAGAAACCGCCGGTGCACATATTCTTTGCCGAGACAAAGAACGCTTATTGTAGAACCACTTAGGAAATGCAGCCGGTCGAATCGAAACGCGTTTTGCCTCGACCGTAAGAAGCTTGAACTTGACTTTACGCTCTTTCAGAAGCGAGCTCGAATTGATACGAGCAGGTTGACGAACCGACGCGACGGAGGAACGATCGAGATAAACACGTTTCACGATCTCTTTGGAGGACGACCAGGTGTCTGGGTTATGAACGCGAGCCTATCCGCTCGATCACGATGCATTGCCAGCTATGTGTAAGAAGCAGAAACGGGATCTGATATCGCGCGAAAAAAAAAAAAACAATATATACATATCTAGAAAGAGAGACTTCCTCGATTTCCATTAAGTAGGAAGCAGTTACGCATTCGCTGTTACGCGAACCGGAAGCATCGCGGGGTATCGCGGGTTCGCTGGCCGGTCGAGGCTTCTTCGACGCGGTTCGTATTCCTGCGCGTGGAAACGGAAAAAAGGATAGGCAGACCGCTTTATACAAAATACATCGTATATATTTCACGAGCCACAGGTCTGTTTCCTTTTACCCGACCAATTACGCGCCTCGAGTTTCGGTTCGATTAAAATCGTCGGGTATGATTTTAACGTTTCGCGTGTGATGTACGGAAAGAATGAAAATCTACGTCAGATTCGACGCGTTAACCTCTTCCATTGTGACGGAGGCTTCGTTTCTGACATACAAATAGGGACAAATTTTATGAATGAACTGAAAGCGATTCTCCGAAGGCTATTAACGGTTCGACGTGGCAATGATCGAGAAAACGCGCTGAACACGCGGAATATCAATGGCAAGGTGGCCTGGTTCGCATAACAAGGACCCAAGACACGCGAGCCTTTTCAAATTCAGCAAGAATTCTATACCCGTCACGCGTTTCTTTTATTCCCTTTGGTAAGGCTTCGGAATGATACCATACTTGTATTTTATTCAAACTGTAGGTAAAGAGTGTTTAGGGTATAACCAACTAAAATATGAAGTCCTAACGTGCGGAAGTGCCAATGTGCGAAGTTGTGGTATATCGAGTTTTCTAGCTTTCTTAAACGAATTTATGGTTTAAATTGAAAAACAAAATTATATTATTTCTACGTAACAGACAAAAAAGAATCTAACTTAAACCTAAACCTAACCCTTATCATTTTTCGTGATGCCCAGCGCCATCTTCTTGCAAAACTTTTTCCAAAAAGATGAAAGAGATCGGTTTTCATGATTTTCTATATCTTGGCACGTTGACACTTTATATTTATCTCACCTTTAACCTAACACATATACAGGGTGATCCTCTAGCTAGAGGACACAAAGGAACACTGGCGAAAATGGACCCCTTGACCGCACCATAAAGAGGTCCGTATTGTCACGTGCCAGCAAGGACCTACCCGGGCCGAGACGACTCTGTGTGTCTTCATGGTGCGGTCAAGGGGTTCATTGTCGCCAGTTCCTTTGTGTCTTCTAGCGAAAGGATCACCCTGTATACAGAGGGTCCAACGACTACGTCAACAACCGAAGAGGGATGATTCACAACGTGATTCTAAACAACTTTTTCCTTTGCTAAAATGTTGATTAAGGCTTTGTTTTCGAGTTATTAACAAAAAACACTGGCCAATCAGAGCGCGCCTTTAGCGCGGACCGAACCACGAAAGCACGACCACGGCTTGAACGCGGTAAAGGCGCGCTCTGATTGGCCAGTGTTTTTTGTTAATAACTCGAAAACAAAGTCTTAATCAACATTTTGGCAAAGGAAAAAGTTGTTTAGAATCAGCTTGTCAATCATCCCTCTTCGGTTGTTGACGTAGTCGTTGGAAACCCTGTATATGAAATTTAAAAACCATAGGGGTGTGGTATCATTCCAGAGATAAGCCTTCCCTTTCAATACTCGATCTTTAGACCGTGCGTTTACTTGAGAGAATTTGTTTCAAATTGCCAGTATAATTAGAGCAATACGAATGTCTAATTAAACGTCCAGCCTTTCGGTTAACAGCCGATAATAACTCGGCACGCTCCGTCAGTTCTTTTCTTTCTCTCTTGCTTCGTTGAGCAGATGTACGAGGTATAATAACACGTCAGTTTTCATTAACGGTCTGCTCGGAAGCGCACGCGAATCCTGAAACCGCGATGACACTTGTTAAACGGCAAGAATATTCCTGATGAAAGTTTCCGAAGCAAAAATTCTCCTCGACCGGATGTTATTCCGTAGCCAACTTGAATTTAATTCAACCTGGCATCATGTTTTATAATTCATTCGACACTCTTGATGGCTCGTAAACTTCTGCTAATACCCGTTCCAACAAGCTTGCAACGTTTCAGCAAAACGCGAACCGTCGGCGCAGAAATTTCAAAGCAACGCAAGAAACTTTGTCGTAATCGTTCTGGACAGGGCAATTATTACGATCGTCTGGAAACTGAATCGATTCCATCGACTGGAACATTGGCAAGAAGGAGGTAAAAGAAAAAAAAAGCTTCGGTTAAACGTTCTAATAAGATTCCGACAAACGATACGCGATTCAATCGTGGAACTCGAGGATGTGCCTCATCTAGATCGATTTGCGCATTGAACACGCTCGACCAGCAGATACAGTTATTCGTAATATCGACATTCGTCGATCCGGCGCCGTTATTTGCGGGTAATCTGGTCACCGCGCAAGAAATCATCCGCTTCTACCATTGAATCCACTTTTGGAGCGAACACGGTGTCGCTTATTTTCAATTTGTCGATCGAGTTCCAATACCTTTGAATAATGAACAGTAATACGGATATGTAGGACGGTCGACCGTATGGGCACCGAAGAACTGTCCAGGATCCATGGAAAAGTGTGACATCAGGACGGGGGTCGGGTCGAATCGCGTAACGGAGCTGCAATGTCCTTTCCTCTCGTTTCTAAACCGTTCGTTAATGGCGAAACGGCCACAGGGTATACGGTTACTTTAATCTTAGAACGGCCTTAGGCATTGCAAATTGCGGCAGTCGCGTGGTTAAATGCGCGCACACGGCCGAGGAAAGTTGAACGCGATGTTATCCTTCACACGGCGCGCATGCACACTACTTTTTCTTCATTTTCTAAGAGAAGCCCCTCTGGATGGCCACCGACAGGTCGTTCTTGCCTCTCTGTCCTTTTACATTCGTTCGCTCGTGATTAGAATCATTTTCATCTATGCAGGCCGCAGTTCTTGCCGCGCCGTTCCTGTATCCGTTCGCCGCAAATTGTGCGCCGATGCGCGCGGCAAAATTGCGCTTAATAAGGGTAAACGAGCGCTCCGATCGGCCAGTGATTAGTCCGGGAATATTATCAGGGCGGTTTTCAATGCTCTCGACGTTAGCAGGCTTCTACGGTTAAACTTGAATTTCCATAATCCACCATATTAACAACTCCTGCTTAGCTAATTAGAAATTTTTCTGTTAATTGCTTCAACAACTTCTTAACTCTCCCCCTCCGAGTTCTAGGGGAACGGGTATAGCAGGATAAGATGGACAAAAGTGCCCTCGAACCGATTTTATAGTTTATCAAAAAGAACTGTTGTACACCAAGTTTCAACCCTGTATCTTAACCAGGAGGGTAGTTACAGGGTAAGAAAGAAAAACTGGTTTTTGCCATATTTTCCCTATTTAATGATATTTAAAAAATCTGAAAAAATTCAGAATCATAAAGAAACATGTCTAGAATATTCTAGAACTTTTTTAGGGAAAATATGGCATAAACCAGTTTTTCTTTCTTACCCTGTAACTACCCTCCTGGTTAAGATGCAGGGTTGAAACTTGGTGTGCAACAGTTCTTTTTGATAAGCTATAAAATGGTGTATAGTTCAATAAAATCGCCTTAAGGACACTTTTGACCACCTTATCATGCTCTACCCTTTTCACTTTTCAGAACTTGCCTTCGAGTTTTTATTTTTACTGCAATAATATTTCACTTTAACCCTTTGACTGCTATGGATGCACAAATAAAAGTTATCAACGTATATTACTAATTACACGCCATATGTTATCGTATTATAATGATACGACAAAACACTGAAAAAGAAAAAGAAATGAAATGAAATGGAATAAAAAGAAAAGTGATTCTTATTTCGTACACACAGAACGTTCAAGCTTAGAGTACTCAGCAGTCAAAGGGTTAATAAACATTTCAGAATATTTTCAGTTTTTTTTAAATCAGGCCCGAGTGAAGAACATTGCCACTGGAGGGTTAAAAATAAAAATTCCATCTTTATGGAACACCCTGTACACCTTGGATGGTACATATTTGTAATGATAGTAATTGATCGATCTATCCTGCAGTGTAAAAAGCATAAAAGTTCCTTTAAGAAAATCGCTTCGCAACGGTCGCTTCTAATTTCTTCGTTGTTAACCACACGTTTGTTCGTCGTGTACCTCTTCGTATGTATAATTGAAATGTTGGCGAATGAGAAACGAACGTGAACACGAGGAGGTAGTCGAATTAAAAGTTATCGCCGATAGAAAAGGATCCGGTGGCTGTGAGCGAGATTGAATCTCTTACAGGGCCGATACGAATCTCGACACAGGAAGAGCAGGGAAAATCGTAACTCTATCGGCCGAGTCAATTAAGCTTGTGTCTAACGGTCGTGATTAGACGCGTTATAAATGAATGTGTACGTTAGGTGGAAACGTGCCTTGGGCAACAACGTCCGGGCAAACATCGTCGATCTTTCGAGTTCCAACTATGAGACACGGGACATTCGGAAACAAATCTACGCGTTTACCTATGATCCTTAATCATTCTGGCGCCTAACCGAACTATTATTTATTCCGATCCCATCGAAACGAAGGGGACTCGTCCTTTTTTCTTTGTTAATTCTATCAGCGACGAGTAACGATGCAAAAACGAGATCATTGCGAGAAGAGAAGTTTTTGCCAATGATCCAGGTGCCAAGATGATGGATGACTAATGACTGAAACGTATTTATTGAAACAGAGAGATCAGAAGGAGGGGAAAAACACGGATAAGTAAGCCAGGATCAAAAGTACCTTTCCAAGCAATTAAATGTTTTACCGTTTACTCGAGCAAGGATGATTAATAAAAACTGATAAGACCGGAAACAGAGGCAGACTATAACAGATGATCCATTTCATTCGATTATAGCATAGTTGTACTAAATTAAAAGTAACTGTACAAAAAATGAATCACACTTGTCTCGTATTTTCGGCTATGAATTGAAAACACGAAACATGGTTCTCACAGCATAAGATCGCTTAATGAATGTTGATTAATCAAGAAGAATTTTTACGAGTTCCAACACATTCGCCCGACCTTCCTCCTTCTTCTCTCGTAAAAAAACGCGTAAAAAGTAACTGTAAAAACCGTATTCAAGTTCTTCTTCCTGCTCGATCGGTATCGAACAGTTTCGAGATGTTCTTGTTAGTTCCAGCAGGAGAGCGTTTACTCGTGCGATCTAATTGTTCACGGACAATCGAGTGCACGTATTTCCGTCGAAAAGTTTCTATTCGAAAGTGAAAATTTTTAAATCCTTTCGTCATGAAACACGAAAATTTCTAAATAAATTTTCTACGATAGAATGGTTGCAAGGGTTTTAAGGGTTGGTAGATGCACCAACCTTGGAAACGCGAGCCTCAGGTCAGCCCTGAGCTTGTTCAGAAGCTCGCTGACCGACGTGAATTGTCTCAAGGTCATCTCGCCGCTTCCGGAAGCGTAACCGGAACTCGAACTGGTTGTCGACGGCAGAGTACCCTGCGAGTCTTGAACACTTCCTAATGGACGTCTTCCCCATCGTCTCAAGGCGATCGCGTAGTCCTCCGCGTTGTACGTGGGCGGTCTTAATCGCTCCTGCAAATAAAATCGCAAAGATTCAGTCGTAATTGCGCCTGTCGTTACATAAAAACCGTATCGCTATGTTAAGAACGGATGCAGAACGTATCGAAATAAATTGCAGTGAAATTAATATAACTGCCCTGGAATCGGCACAGATTTATCAAGATAGTTAGATGCGCTCAATTAAGAACATTTGCTATATTTTGCAATCGTTTCTTTCAGCATCCAGGAGCTAGAAAAAATTGCATTACAACACTTGGTTACAAGAAAGTCTCAATTATGTTATTTCGCTGTAAAGTTAACCCAGATATGCCTATCATCCTTCCGGAAGGATGATGGTACAAAAATTGAATTAATATGTTCTACTTCGACCTTGAATAGAAGAAATCTTACTTATGTGGGTTAAACTAAAAAACTGTAATTCGTCACAGTCCATCGATGGTTCCGTGTCTCGAATGAATTGCAAAATTTTGCAAAACGACGATCGCAAAGAGTGGGAGTTTAGTCGAGGTTAACTTAACGCCGCTTCTAACCATAAATCGCTAGAATTATAGTGATTATCGTCCCAAGTCCATAGGTTGCGGTCTAGGTGAACCTACCACGGTGATTGATTCCCCGTTGAAACCCAGATCGATCGCGGAAATTAATTAACCGCCTTCAACTCCCGTGTATCCTCGGAAACGGAGAGATCTAAACAACCACGAGTAATCTTCTGGAAAGGCAATTAAAACTTGCACCTGTTTCAAAAGATACAAGCAGTGGTGGCTCGTAGATAAAATTAGTGGGGGTGCTGCTCCAGAAAATTTTTAGCCTTTGTTTTAATAAACCGACACTGGGGGAGCAACAGTGCTCTCTCTACCGCGCAGCCTAGCGCGCAGCTTCTTATGTGCGCATGCGCACACGGTCAAACACCACGCCGCTGTGAAGCACACAGTTCCATACAAAGATTTTTGTATCTTTTTCATAAACTGGGGGATGGCTACTGACATTAAGCATAAGGATTATATATTGTGCAAGTATAAAGAAAGAATTAAAGAAAAAAGGACTCATTATATTAAATGTTATCGATAATATCAAGTGCAAATAAGGGGTGCTGCAGTTCCACAGTGCTTATACGCGAGACGCCACTGGGTACAAGTATCCGATACCCCGGAGCATTACAATGGTGACTAGATAGAATTCAAGAATCGTTTATCCGGTTAATTTACGCCGAAGGCCGCGCAGTCGCTTTCTAAACAGCATACCTCGAGCGTTTTGTGTAAATTAAATCGCTCGACGGAGTGTGGTTTCGATTCGAAGCGGTTAATCGGTCAAGTTTACACAAGAAATCAAGTTTCTATTTCGCGGTCGCTAGATTTTTCACGCGCGAAAAGGCTCGAAGGAAAACCGCGATACACGGTAGCGTTTAAAAAAAAAAAATAGATTCTTTTATTCTTTATTTCGAACGACGCGACAGAGAAACCATGCTCGAGTGAAGATTTTATAGGACGATCGAGGTTGTTGACAGTCGCGATCAATCATAGGCTGGTAAGACGGCGTCGACGGAGGACGCTGATGGCCCATCATCGTCTGATGAATACCGAGCTCGCTTATAACGATGCATTTTTCGACGAGCAATAAAGTAATTAGAGTTCCTTTCCGGGATATACGGCCACGGATACGTACGTAAATTGTCTAATGGAGATCATGATAGAGTAGAGACCTGCTGCATAGATCAATCATGCTTCAGTTTTTTCATCTTTTCGTTCAGTTGAACGACTGAAACGGGATCTTCGTGCAGGAAATCGTTAAAGAGAAGGGGTGTTCTTAACTGTAGCAATTATGCGAGTAATTAGGCGTTTGGTCGACGAAAATGATGCGCGAGCCTCTACAGGAACAAACTTTATCTCCATACTTGCAACCTACATATTGTACAAGAGTGCGTCACGTTTTCTTATTAGACCACTCGGTCACTTTGTGTCCTTTTGCTCGACAATAAGACACGCGATTCGAAAGCAAACGAGCGAATCTTTCGCAGAATCTGATCGAGAAGAATCGTCGAGCCGCGTGTCGCGCTTGATCCAATTTCAAACCGCACACCTTCGTTTCACATTTTACTCAATTAGAGTGAAGAATTCGAATCGCGGTAAAAGTCCCGACGACTTTCACGAGCATTCGACTTAAGAATTCTAATAAACGTCCCAGCGAAGAGACTCTGGTTTCATGAAACATTCTATTGTAACCAGGCGTGCGCTCTCATTAGCGGATAATGTAACATTAGTTTTAAATAAAAAAAGAAAACAACTAGGTCTTTGATTAAGGTCAAGGATTGCTCGCGATTCCAACGACAATCGCTCGAAAATCTCATTGCAAGTGCAATTGCCAGAGGACAGAGACGAGTGTTGCGTGTACGTCGAAACAATTCAAGCGGAATGCAAGCGTGTGCAGTTGGAACGGGTTAACACGGCGCACTGTGCCTTCTACTCGATATTAATCATATTATCCGTGACTAATTACCACCCTCGCAGTTTCGCGACGCGTATAAATGTCGGCGAAGCCATTACGTACGCGCAGAATTCGATGCATCCGACTGGTGCATGTTGATGCAACGCGCGAGTATGAAAACCGTGGCACGGTTAAACACGAGACGAACGATCGTTTCGACGATTCACATGAGTTGGATAATAATAATCAAGAGTTTGATGGTACAGGCGTTTGACAAAACTGCTTTACAAATGGTATGAGATAATTAATTAGCCAAATTACTAATATACGAAGTTGCATTCGTATCATAAATTATTAGGTCCACAAAATAATTCTGTGGTTTTCTTTTTATTAAATTGAAGGTTTATTTTTAAACTATTGAAGTAATTTTTATTATTTTTATTGAATATTAAAAATTGAAATACTAATTAAGATGGTGCAGTACTAAAGGCACTAAATTAATTTATATACGGGTCATTCACTTTTTGTCAATACCATCGGCGATTTTGTTTTAAATAAAATATGTGAAACTGGGGGGGGGGGGGGGGGGGGGGGGTTAAGTCATCATTTTGCCGGTTTCGAATTTGTTTAAAAATTACAGGCTTTCGAAGTTTGCAATTTTTTCACATTTTGGCAAAAACGGGCTTCATTGACCGCGTTCTGTTCCAGCTCATTGTGCCCAATTTTCAATTTCCCATCCTTCTGAAGGGCTTATTTTGAAGGAAAAACTTCAGGGAATATGACGATATATTTTTAAAAATTGAAGTCACTCTTGGCATTCGAAAAAAACGCAAAAAATGAATTTGTTTACACTTTTCAACATTATAAAGTTAATTATCGAGGTTAAAAAAATTATTTTATAATAGCTTAATCCTTTCTGAATAGAAAAAAAATGTAGCGCGATCGGACAAATAGTTCCGGAGATAAAAATTCGTAAGTGAAGCCCGTTTTCGCCAAAATTGGCAAAAATTGCAAATTCGAAACACATTCACATGGACTGCAACATATTTCATTTAGAACAAAATCGTCGATGGTAACGTCAAAAAGTGATCGATTTGCCATGGAATGACCCATACTTAATAATACTCGATCAGAAAGCATCCCTAAATTCCAACGCGTGAGACAATTTCGTTTCGCATTTGTAACGTCACTATAGGAACCTCTTAACACAAAGTTGTTCTATGAAAGTTTCATTATCCGAAGCGTCGATAATTGCGACAAAACAGTGCGTAGATAGGATGCATAGGTAATAGGGCGATTAGTACAGACAGATTAACATTGACGATATTATGATAGAGAACGAGCCAATTCTAAGAGATTAACTAGCCGTAATGCTCTTCCTTTAACACATTTCTACCTAGTTTATCGTTTATCCGTGAACATGGCGCAATTCTCACGGTGAGGTAGCGACAAAAACGATTAGCAAACCTTTGCACGCTTATCTCTACTCTCTCTATATATGTATATCGATCAATGTTGAGAGATATGCTAATCAAAAGCATCCTGTGCTCCAAGGATGCATCAGCATCAGCATCAGCATCAGCCAGGTTACACGATTAGACGGTTTTTCTCTTGTTCAGATCCTCTCGTTATCAGCCGCGTAATCCTTTCGATGCAATCAAGAGTTATATTCACCTTTTCCGGTTGTGGTCCCCAGGGTTTCACTACCAGCAACTCCTCTTCTGCGTTCGGAGCCATGTCCGTCTCGCTGTAACAAACGAAACAACAATCAGTTGGATTTTTTATATAAAAAGAAAAATCTTAGAAGATTAAATGAGTTGTGTAAAAATTTGAAGAGGCTGAAATTATCGATGCCATTGAAAGAATTCTGAATTCTTCGACGAAGAAGGTGTAGAATAGCAGGGATTCCATGCCGTGTTTTTCGTCGTTTCATTTACATCCTCGAGATTATTGGTGAACGATACAGTTAATTGGGAAGTTGTACGTGTCCGATGCTCGTCCATTCCACGGAACGACTGCGGGGAATTTCATCGGTGGAATTTTCAAACGGTACCTCGGCTCACTCGTTTCGTTCCGCGGCAACGGAGACGAATACCAGCGGAATCTACGCTCATTCGATCGGATTCGTATCGCGACGGCCTAAAATTCGTTTCCGCTAGATCCGGCACGGATTACACGGTTCACGGCTACCGTCGATGCGATTTATCGCCTTGTGGGAAGCATCGGGGCTGACGGAGAAAGGAATTCTTATCTCTGTTGCAACTGGTTTGCATCAGTCCTGATCATCCGGCTCGACCAAACAACGCTAATTAGCCTAACGAGTTTAATACAACGATTTTATTAATTAATTACTTTCACACATCGTTAGGGATGTAGTACAGAATATTGCGACACGGATTACGCACGGTTGTTGCACGAAATTCTTTCCCGATGCATCAAGTTTTCACGGTCCGTTGCGACGTAATGCAACGCGGTTCCACTCGGTGAAAGACGTGCAACGCCGAGGACACGAGCCGATGGTATTTCATTTTGTGGGTTGGCCAGGATAATAACAGGAGTCACGATCATCACGGTCACGAAGAAGCGGTATATGATCGCTACTCCTTCTTCATCTCCCGGACTCGATCAGAAATATCCTGGCAATGTTCGGCAAGCTCTCGGTCTGACCTTACGGGTTGCCTGGAATCGTGTCGGTTCAAGTAATTCCCCGCGGTAAGTATGGCTATCAGTGATAATGACCTCGAAGCATTATAATCGAGACGTCAGAAATTGGTTTTCATTGACCGAGTAATCGGTAGAGAGACGTTTCGAAAGTAATTCAACATTTCGCACTTTCTTACTCGAGTTTGCGATGCAATTTCCATTGAAATACGGGGCAAAATTTACGATTAAAAATAAAATCTCATGTAAATTCATAAAATATCGAAAGATTTCAACTGGGCGAATGGTATCCTTCTCCTGTTACTCGTAATTACACGGGTATCGTTAACGCATTAACACTTGAGCGATGATAGTGTCGCTAGCGTGCGTGCGCGCCGAGGAAGCAGCTAAACGTCGTGGCATTTAATTGGCGTTTCGTGATAATTATCGAGCGTTAAAATATCATGCTGAAGATTGTTAATCCTCCTATGGTGCTCTATATACAAGTATCATAAACGTAGGTATAATGAAACGGCCAAGTAACTGCGAGGTTTCAAGTGTTTTAAGAGCGCGAACCTACGGCAATGCCATTAACCAGCGTCGTTTTGCCATTTATTGCACGCGAATGGTTTCACCGTCGGCAAACGTGGTTATCCGTTTTAATCGAAATAATCCAACCGCTTGGTGATACTAAAAACCAACAGAAATCGCGTTAACGCTATGGAATAACGTAAATTTTCAATTTCAATTTACTGTTCAGTACTTCTGTCAGGAATCGAGCGTAGTGCTTAACAAGATCCTAACAGCAGTACACTTCATTTTTCATGGCATCGGGGTAACCGTTCAGTTATATTATAATCTTTAATAAGATGCCAGAAGATAATATTTTATTTAATTACAAGGTGGACAAGTATTTCTTGTTTCTTTTTTCTTTTTATATAGAAAAGATGCTCGCCATCAGAAGCTGCTGTCAACGAGTCACACCGAATCCAATGTCTAGCTCATCATCATTAATCTTGAAAAACGTTGTTTCACCGGTCGGAGTGGAGGGAGGGTGATTGTTGGTGCGTCAAAGAGGGCCGCCTCGCGGCAACGCGGAGCTTGCATACGGAACGCGGCTCGAAACGCGTGCTCGTCAGGCTGGCGATGTTGAGCGCGGTACCAGCATAACGTAGTAGTCGAAGCTAACCATCGCATCGCGTCGACTAGGTGGATACTTACTCGAGGAGGACAGGCAAGGCATTGACCCGCGCGCGAGCGGTTAGTCACGCATACGCACGCACTTTTGCACGCTTCTCGCGTACGCATGCGCGTTCAACCGCGATACCTCGATACACCGGTGTCCTTTAAGGAATTCCAGCTTTCCTACAGGTATTCCCTTCGAGGCAGGAAAATTGGCGAAAGTGCGGCGCGCGCTGCAATTGCGAGCGGGATTCGTCACGATTCGAATACGCGTTCCTTCTTTAGTGTGCCGAACCACGGTGTTCGTGAAACGTTGCTGAAAATCGGGTCAATCGTAATAACCCAATCACCGACCACGACTGTTTTTCGAGGCTGAGTAATTTAATCGACGAGAGGATTCCAAGTACGTTTGCGTTTCACCTGGTTGCGTTTGTCAACTCGTCGAGGATCGGTTAAGAACGGCCGTTCTTTATTTTACTCGCGCGTTTCTCGGAAGCAGCATTCCGGAGATTTTAATTCCATTGAAATTAGCATGGCGCGAATAGCTCCGTTATTGAGGAGAATCGTCGTCGTTTAGGACGTGATGGCTTGGGTGCACGGTGTGCGCGAACGGATAGTCGCGTGCAGCATAGGAGAACGCACGTTCCACTCATGAATAGGTAATGCAATGCGCGAACAGGCGCCATGACTCGTTGCGGCCGGTGTCCTCGTGCTTTGCCGGCGCGGATTTCAACCGCGACAAAAATCCTACGATCGTCGATGCTGCGTCGTCGATCTTCGTGCAGGCCATTAGTGGGATATGCGAGAACATGGAATTTCTGCCGTTCCGTCGGCCGCATCCGCGGGCTTGTCTTTATGATAGTGTACGCTCCGCTTCGTACCGATTCTGCTTCGATCCTGTCGATAAAGATTCTCCATCCGAAACCTTGCCAATTATGCCATTACCTTCGGAACCCTTTCTTTCTTTCCCTCCACATCCTCCGCTTGCTATTATTTCGGCAGCAACATATTGTAATGGTATGTGCTATAGTGGGCGCTATCACTATCTACGGATTAGAGAAACTAGAAAGTTCTCCAATACGATTAGGAATGAAAAGAATGTTATCAAACATAACAACTCTTAACTTTCCTATAACATGTTGTCCAAGTATACCCTGGGGCGGGCCCAAAACCTCTGGAACTCAAACCCCCGAACGTTGATGATTTCCTCCTGCCTGTCAAAGAAGTGGCCGAAGAAGGCATCGAAAACCAAGACAATTAATGCCTTTTTCACAGTATTTTGCATTTCATTATTGTTGTTATTATTATTATTTCAATCATTGAACGACTAATAATTAATTAATTAATTAATTAAATATTGAGATAATTATACCGAATGAAAATAAATTTATTTGAAAGTATTTGGGTAAGAGGTCCTTTTAGCATCCCTCTCCAATTGACTCAAAAATTACCAGGAAAACTTCTCATAAGTAAGTCAAAAAAACATTAATGTGGAGGCGCGGAAATGTTTTTTTTGAGAAACAATTTTTCTCAAATTCTACAGAATGAATTTTATTACTGGAGCAAAAATGAGCAAAATGAAACTATAAAAACTTCAAAAAAAGAACCTAACCTAACCTAAATCTAACACCTAACAGAATTTACGGGATATTTCTGCCATTGATTATGGCGAGCGAGAGAACAAGAGACGCGAGATGATATTGGTTCGTACAGTTGCGATTGAGAAAGCAAATGAGATGGCGGCCGAAAAAATAACACAAACACCGTAACTGAACTGTCCACATAAATCACGACGGTGAACTGATGTGATTGATTAGATAAATTTAAGTTGTCTAGGAGAGTAAGATGGTGGTGATGAAAATGGCCGCAATTTTTGACTTACCCACGTGACTGAGGATTTTGAAGTCAATTGAAAGGGGGTGCTAAAAAGAACTTCACCCAGTATTTGTTTATTTTTATCTATTCCTAATCGGATTAGAGAATTTTCGAGTTTCTTTATTCCGTAGATAGCGATAGCGCAAACTATAGCACATACCACTACAATATTTTGCTTGTGTCCCTCTCTGCCGAAATGATACCCTCTGCTTTTACTAATTTTTTTTTTTTTTTTTTTTTTTTTTTTTTTTTTTCAATGGAAACCACGCACAATAGACACGATTTCGTTCTTCCTATGAGATTTCCATACAACAGGTTCGGCTGAAAGTTCATGGGCGGCCAGGACAACGGGTAATTACGCAATTTGCGGTCGGCTGAAATCGATCGCGTGATTCGAGCATTTGGACACAGATCGGTGTTTGAACAAAGCCGCTCCAATTATGCCATACCTTGAATATTTAATTTTTTTATCCGTCGATATTTATTGCTTCTAAAGATCCGTGAAGGTTGCTGCTAACGCCCCTTGGTACGTACGCCAAGGTAGCTATCAATAACGCTGGATTGCCACCTTCGGGCCTGATAATAAGAGCAATCGTAGATGTATATAAAATCAAGAATTTTTTCATACCGTAACGAATGTAACAGTTGAACGACACTGTTTCGAGAAAAAAGAAACGTTGTCGGGGGAACAATGATGAAAGCTCCTTCGAAACGATTTCAAGCAATTACTTGCCGGAATGAAGCTCATTCGATACGCTATGTATGTTCTTCGAGGGCCTATTACGGCGAAGGTCGCACGAACTGGGGAAGTACAGTTGAATCCATAGAGGTGAACACATTGTAAGCGTCACGGTGCTCGTAATGCTTCCCGTCGGCTGTTTGCTCGAGGTATCGGTTATCTTTCCGCACGGAACGAAGAGAGAAGCTGGTCGAAGAATAAGGTAGGTGATACGGGCAAACAGGCGCCACGGCTCGATGCGGTTTTACCTATCCCGCTTTGAATCCTCTTGAAAAATCGCCTCGATCGAGAGCTCGGCATCGTCGATCTTG